TGTCGAAGATTAATCTGTCGTGTCGTGTCTGCTACGAGCTAAAACAAAATGGTGCTTCTTCTTCTTCCTTTTACTCGCGGCAACCACACCTCCGGCTAAAGAGCCCCCTGGTGGCTGAAGAAAAAATCCACGTATAAACCGCACCGGACTATAAGTCGCATGGTTCAAAGTTCAGGAAAAAAGTCGCGGCTTATAGTCCGAAAAATATGGTATATTTTTTGCTTCTCTTACTTTTTTTCTGCGAAGTTGGGCTTTTTTGCTTCTTTCAACTATGAAATTTTGAACTTGCAATAACACTTTTGCTATTAAAAAAATTCAGCTCGATTTCAGCAGTGTTCAGCTTATGTTTTCAGCAAGAAGCATTCACACTAGCATTTTCACAGGAAATGCAATTATTATTATTATTATTATTGATGAGGATAATGATACTAATAATGATGATAATTTTTTAAACTATTCCTTGAACACAAATCTAAACTTAATCTTCCCATCAGGAGTTTGAATTCGACGGCTGGGATGAACTGTGTGAGAAGCTGACGGCACTGGCCACGGACTGCAACAAACACCGAGCCAAGACAGATAAGAGGAAGCAGCGCTCAGTGTTCAGGGACGTGCTCAAGGCTGTCGAGGTGAGTTGTTTTCTTGGCGTGGATTTTTGAGGTTTTTAAGCTCCACATCCAGTGAACCTTTTGTGCTCCCAGGATTGTAACATCCACGGCCTTTTTTGTTTTTCCCCAGGAGGGAGATTTCCAAACGGAGACGATTCGCTTTGGAACGGAGCGTGTAACCATCGACAGCTGGGTCAGGAAGAGGACCTATGATGCTTTCAGAGAGTTTGTGGGCTCTGGGATGAACTACCACCTACAGGTAAACATCTCCCCAATCAGTGGATGAGTTTTAATTAAAAGTTCAGTTCGACTTATGTCAGAATTTCAAAGTCTTAATATGTTTTTTTTTGTAAAGTTTTTTCATAAACACTTTTTCAAAATAAGCCAAATAAATAAAACTGACGTTCATTAATGACGACGTTTTCTTTCTTTTTCACCAAACCAGGCGAATGAATTCATCAGAGAGGTGTTTGAACTGGGACCACCCATTTTGGTTGATTCAGCTACAATGAAGGCCATGAAAATTTCTCGCTTTGAAAGAGTAAGCATACATAAMACCAAACCTAACATTATCTTTTTTGTTGTCCCTTTGTGGATTCTGACATTTCTTTTGTTTTCCAGCATCTCCACAACTCTGCTGCGTTCAAGGCTCGGACCAAGGCCAGAAGCAAGTTCAGAGACAAGAGGGTGGACGTGGGGGAGTTTTAATCTACTTTTTGTTAACTTTTAATAGGTTTATTTATTAAGTTTCCTTTTCTTTTTTAGATAAGCAGCCACTACTTGGTGTTGATGTAATTGTTTACTCTCAGTCTGTAATGAATCTTGACCTCATACAGATGTAGGTTTTTTTCCCAGCAGCTGTGCGTTTTGAAAAACGGGATGTTTTGTCCCAGACCAACAGGAAGTGGTTAATGCTGTGTGATAGAAAAGTGTATATATTTGTGTATTTTCTTGTTTTGATGTTTATTATATTTTCTTTTCCTGAACATTTTTAGTAATTTATAATTATTTTTTCTGATATTTAAATACATTGTGACTAACCCTTATTTCTGAAGAATCTTAGTGGTATTGGCTTTAGTTGTRGTTCTGTTTTTGGAAAGGATGGTGGAATAAACTCTGAAATGMAAAAAGTTATGTTTTTTTAAATTTATATAGTAATTATAAACTTGAGTGACTTGTGTTGATTAAGATTCCACTTAGTCAAGTGTTGGACTTTTAAAAACTGATTTTAAAAAGTAAACTCACTTTTTCCCTGTATAAAAGCTAGATTTGTAAAGTTTGACAAACAAAAGCAACAAAGCTCTAAATAGTCACTAATCCCACTTAGTCTGACCACGTAAAGAAAAAGTTAGATAAATTTTAAGAAAACTGGTTGCTACACTGAATATTTTGGGCAGATTTCAGTTGCAACAAATTATTTTATTAGGAGTCTTGTTAAAACTGAATTTAGTTTGGCATCAACAGCTGGACTAAACCACAGCCTGCTTAACATTTAAAACAAATGCATAAATCTTAAGTCCCAGACACAATGTATCAAATTAAMACCAAACTTTTGTTGAAGCAGCCTTAAATCTGATCTTGTCAAAAACTTTCCCGGCCACTCTGCAGGACTTGAGATAAAGCTTATCTTTTGATTAGATCGCCCTTATCTGAGCACCTACAGGCCGGCAGGTAGAGTGGAATGTGATGGAAGCTAATGGACCATTGTTATTCACCGCTCATCTCCGCCCTGTTGTCTGCAATGAAAGGAACGCTAAAGAAATAGTTCAGGTATTTCAAAATGGAGGTCCTGTGCAGGGGTTAGGAGCAGTTAGTATCTTAYGTGTTGCAGATAACTGAGCTCAGTTTGGAGAAAGACTGGCTGCATCCTCATGAGTGCGCATTTGACAAAATCGAGGATGCACCTGAGTATCCTTCCCTTCTGAGGATATCTCAGGATCCAATGCGCCGACAGCAAACTTAAAAAAATAAAAACAAAGATGGAGTTTTTGTGTTTTTACTGGTGTAGTTTAGACTACCTGGACTGGGGAGGACGTGGCCCAGGGGTGGGCTACGTACTCATGGAGATGCAGCCTGTGAATTGAGACTCAGCCATTGGCTTTTTGAATTACATAGATTCTCATATTTTAACTTTGAGTTAGGATGTTGCTATGTTCTGCTAGCTATTTGCTTTGTTGTCCTTCAGCTCAGGGCAGGGGCGGGGCCACAGTGGCATTGGCCCTAGCTGAAATCTGATTGGCCCCATAAGTGCCCCTGTCCTGTCACTCATCTGTCCTTTAGTGGGAGTGATGATGGTGGATGCAGTTCCATATTCAAACACTAGTGGTGCTAATGGGTCAAATAGTAAAGTCCAGAATGATTCAAGCTGACAGAATTCTTCTTCTCTTGAAATTAATAACCCATCTATAAACTATTTAAAAGCCATATATAAAGGGAGATGGTATAAAATGGTAC